TTCTCTTTTCTCTTATCTTCACGTGAAGAATTATTGGACATGAGGCTTTTCCCACAATATATTAAATAATGTCTTCTGGCCGGTGAAGAGCTTCCCCGTCAAGTGTTTGTCCCAAAATATACAAAATATTTTCTTTTCTCCCTTGCACGTAGATGATACACCTTGTGTAGCCTGACCAATTAAAATATATTTTCTTTTCCGTCTACTTCTTTGCTTTGACCATTGATCAATATCGTGCTTTTCTTGGACTCTCGCTGGATTCATACTTCTTAGTTTGACGATGTACAACTTTCTATTTTGGCCTCCGCAGAATATATACAGGACACTGCCTGGTAATTCTCATGTTTGTTTCGGCAGCTGTCCGAAATACCACGTATGCGTGCTATCGCCCGATTCATTCATTTCTAGAGTAAGCTTGTCAATTTTTGGTGTAAACAGAAACCGCTCCTATTACATAAAAAAAGGACTTGCAGCCTATGTGTGTTTGATATATATTTAATTAAAACATTAGCTTGATATTTATTTATTATGGAAATTAAATAGATTTGCTCGTTATTTTCTCATTATTTCCTTCGTCCATATCATGTGCCCTTTTGCACGTTGTATTTGGTATACAGTGTACTTCAATTAGTTTTATTCATATAATAACAATGGCAGAAGGGGGAAATTTAGAATCATATGTATAGGAGACCTACTCGCATTTTTCGTAACGAGGAGATACTTTTATGGTTATGAGTTATAGTTGAAGTCTAATAAATTAATAGCCGGTTGTTTTAGGCTTTTTGAGAATTTTACAGCACATCTTATGAGAATTAAGGGTATAGAAAGAGAATATGTTGAGATTGGTTACAAGCTTAGGCTATCCCTAGTGCATTATTGTATCATGTCACTATTTCTAACGTTGTCATGACAATTCTCATACAACTCACACGACACATGGTATCATTGTGTTTTTTTTTGTGAATCAAAGTATACAGATAGACACTTATATATGCATGCACACTCACCTATTTGAACGCATGCATATACATACATTTTGTCAACGAGCACTTCACCTACCACTAATGGAGGAACAAAGCTATTGAATCCTAAAATAAATCTAGAAAAAAGCGCCTACATCAAGTCGAGGATTTGAATCTGGGTGGACATGGTTCCACCATAAGAAATCCAACAAGTTGTCCTTTCGCCATGGTGTTTTTTTTTCATAGGTGTCTCTAAACAATTAATTATTGTATATGTTCTATCCACGACAATGGGCTTAAGGATTATGCGCAGTTTTCCAACATTAGGTAATGTGTTCAAGTTGTACCTCTAGGATCATACTCCACGTTCATAGAGTTGTCTTAAGTCAAACTTTTCAAATTTAACCAAATTAATATAAGAGCAGCCAAGATTTACGTCACGTCAGCGAATAGTCCTATGTGAGGTCTAATTAATGAGTATGGTACTATGATACTATTCATGGGACCAGCCTTAGTTTATGAAACTTGGATGAATATATTGAATTTTTAAAATTTATTAAATACAGTAAGAGCATCTCTAAGAATCTCTCTTAAACTCACTCTCCAAATCATGGAGAGCCATTTGAATAAAACTTACTCTCTATATCTTTCCATCCTCCAACAACTTCTCTATATCTTTTATGCACTATAAAGAGCTAGCCCCGCTCTCCATCTTTGGCTAGCGAGAAATCCAAAATATATGATGTCTATATTTGGAGATCTCACGAAACAAGCTGATGTTTCTTTTTACCAAAATCTCTATTACTACTCCAACTGGTCCATTTTTACAAGGCATTTCACTTAGGTTAAGAATCAAACTTTATAATATTTGACTAATAATTTGGCTTACAACTTTTAACTATTGTAATACAAACTTGGTACTATTATTAGATTTGTAATGAAATGCGCTATCCAATATATAATAATAAGTCTGTAATCATAAACAATATAATATAAAATAAATGTACAGTCAAAGTATAATTTAGGAGAGTGTGTCATGTCAAAAGAAACCTTATAAACTCGATCGGAGGAAGTATGAATTAGGAATGATATAGAGAGGCTCCGTGAGAACTTCACAACAATCGATATAGTAAGAAGAAGAATTGTAGACGAGAATGGAGAATATATGGTCTTCTAAGACTTGGAAATGATAGTACACGCCAATTCGGAGGGAGTAGTTCATCAATGACTTGCTCTCGAGTGCTGCTGGTACGTATAGCCGGAACCTGAAGCCAAGCACCTTTTCCCCGCGCGGGGCCCACGGGGAGATAACACATGATCACTGTGTGAGACTAGGATTGAGTTGGTGCCGAGTCCAAATCACAACGGCCCAATAATTGATGGAGACGCCACTGCCCACTGGGACGGACGGCTTCTCCCTTCCCGCGCTCCGCTCCCAGCGGCCGACAAGCCCCGCCCGTGGCCGCTATCGCGCGGCAGGACCACCGCTCCGCCCACCGCCCGATCCCCCGTCCGACGGCCCCGGCTCGACGACGACGATAAAGATGGAGACGACCGACTTAATAAACAAAAAAAAGGCTACTCGTACGCATTAAGCACAGCTAGCACGCTCGAAGCTAAGAGCTCCCTCGCTCGTCAGGTTCAGGGCCGCGCGCGTCTACTCCGATCCTGCACGGTGGTGTGGCGCCGCGGATGGGGCTCGATCGGTCACCGGCGCCGGCCTCATCCTTCCCCTTGTCATCTCTCTGTCTTCGCAGCTGGCTCACCGGCCCGCCGATGAAGCGGAACGGCCGGACCACCGCCTCTGGCGGAGAAAACAGACGGCCATGCAACTGCGCGCGCGCATGGCCGGGGGAAGACGCGACGCACCGCACCCAGGCACCCAGCTCCCTCACCTCAACCGCCTCTCTTAATACCCCACCATCACTGCGCTAACGCTAGCTACAGCAAGAAAGCCTAGAAAAAGGGCTGGACTTGTTGATTGCATGCCGAGCAGGTCAACATACGGCCAGGATCATCAGCAGCCAGCAGGAAACTAAAAAAATAAAATAAAAAGAGAGAAGCCGGCCGGCCGGTTGGATTAGCGGTTGGGGCCGGATTAATTAGGCCTGCACTTGCACAGCACACGCACGCACGCGTTCAGCTGCAGCGTCGTCAGGTTTAGGCTGACGACGCTCTCTCACAGACCACACACCACACACCACACGCACGCGCCCGGCCGCGTGGTTGGGAGAGGGATCAGCAGCGAGCGCAACAGCAAGCTTGCTTTCCTTCCCTTTCCTTCCCTTTCTCCATTTAATTAAATGTTTCATCAGAAAGCAGAGAAAATTTAAAGTACAGGAGGTTCGTCGCACCCACCACCGGGCCGGGCCGAGCGAGATTTTTATTATTTTTCTCGGTGGTTTCGCAATAAAGGCGGGGATGTAAACATATGGCGTTGGTTCGATCGAGCACAGGAAAAGTTTCATCATCTTCTTTTTTTTTTGTAAAAAAGGATAATTTGATTTGCCGGGGTCGATTTCCTACTCCTCCTCAGGCCTCACGCGCCTTGGCTGGCTGTCCGAGTGCTGGTCAATTTCAAAATGAAAAAGAAAAGATGGAAAGATGCAGAGAGGGACGCCTCCCCATCGCTTCTTTTCCCATCAGAGACCCCTGCCCCCTTTACTTGCTTTCCATCAATTTTTTGTTTTCTGCCTCCCTGCTGGATAATACTCGACACGATCGACATCACCTTTCATTCCACATCGTCTACTAGTATCTAGTAGTAGTAGCGATCGATCGAGCTAGTTGGCTGCTGGTGTACGTACGTACATGTAGGAGCTCGACTCGAACTGCAGCACAGTGCAATAGGTAGCATGCATGGTGAGAAATTCGATCTACTACTAGCTAGATAGAAGATAGCAAATATCCATATATAGCTAGCTGCAGGCCGAAAAATTAATAAACAGCCAACTATTAGTTTAATTTCTTCCTAAAATAAACATCAACTGTAAAGTCATTCGAGGATAGTGAGAAAATAAAAGGAGACATGAAAAGGAGAGGGGGGACAAATGAAAACAAGCGTACGACATCACCAGCACCAACGATAATAACTTAACCACAACACAACAACGACGCCCGCCGATTATTAAACGCGGTACAAGCAAGGGGCATAAAAGAAAAAGAGGATCCCAAAGGAGGAATAGAGAGGGAGAGCATCTCCTGGCCCGGGACAGCGACGTCTTCCTCCCTCTCCTCTGGGATTGAGCTCGCACCGGAAGGAGAGGAAAAGGAGCTCGGTTTTTTTTATATACCAACCGGCCACCCGCCCTGCGCGCTACTACTAGATGCTTGCCTTCCCCTTTGCGTCGTCGCGCTCTTCGCCGTCCCCTTTCAGAATCGGAAGGCGATTGCACAAGGCTGTGCCTGCTCGGCCGCCGCCCGCCCGACCCGACCCGACCGGACAAAGAGGGGAGGAAAAAAATATAGAGTTAGTCACACACAGCACAGGAAGGCGGAGAGAGAGAGGGATTGAGAGATAAAGAGATTTCGGGAGACAAGGAGAGAGAGACAGAGATGGAGAGGAGCAGCCGCTGGTCAGGCCTTTCACTCCCGCACCCAGATAACGATGTGCTAGCTCCGTCCTCTTAGGTTAAGGTAAGCAGCAGCCAGCGCGGCGCCGGGAGCGAGGACACACCGCCGTCCTTCTCACTAGCCTCCTTCGTTCTGAATTCATCTCGTTGTTTGCCCAGTCGATCGATCGGTTGTTTGTTTGTTCATCAGATACATGCAAAGCTAGCTGGAATTTTGTTTGGGGAAATTGAAATTAAAGGAGGATTATTTTGCTTTTCTTTTTTGTTTCGTTCTTTCGATTTGTTTGTTTTGGGAGAGTGCAATTCGGTTCATCGTCGTCTTCGTCTTTGGATTCTATTTTATATAAATATATACTCGCTTTCCCCTGGCCGGTGCTTACGATGGCGCTGCTGCTCGTGAGCTGTGCAGGAAGGAGGAGGTCGTGGCCGGGATCCCGCCGACGATGATGACAGTGGCGCCGCCGGCATGGGCATAGCGGCGCCACCGTACCAGCAGACCACCACGTACGTGAGCCAACCCACCAAGAGCAGCGCAGCGATCTCCGCCTCCGCCCGGGCGGCTACCGCGACTTCTATGTCCCACTCCCACGGATTCCACCAGGGCAGCAGCGGCGTCTACGGCTACTCCTCCGATGGCTTCGACCGCCCGGACTCCAGCCACCGCCAGGACCATCAGCAGCAGCACGAGCACGTGGCGCAGCAGAGCCGCCGCGACAAGCTGAGGGTGCAGGGCTTCGACCCGGCCGCCGCCGCCGGGCACGGCCTGCTCCCTCTCGACGGCGACGAGCATGGCGGGCCCGGGTCCATGTACGAGCACGCAGCGGCGGCCGCCGGGGCCTCCAACATGCTCTCCGAGATGTTCAACTTCCCCGCGCCGCGGTCGGGGCCCTCCGCCACCGAGCTGCTGGCCAGCCAGATGAGCGGCAACTACCGCTTCGGGCTACGGCAGCAGCAGGCCGGGCCCGGAGGGGTGGCCGGCTTGTCCGGCGGCGACGGCGGTTGGTTCGGGGCCGGCGCGGCGGGTCGTGGTGGCTTGGTCCTCGGTGGGGCCAGCATGGGCTCGTTAGGTGAAACGTCGTCCCCGAAGCAGCAGCAAGCAGGCAGCATGGCTGACCTGGCCACCGACCCGGCCGCCGCGATGCAGCTCTTCCTGATGAACCCACAGCAGCAGCAGCAGTCTAGATCGTCGCCGACGTCGCCGCCGCCGTCGGACGTGCAGCAGCACCACGAGGCGTTCCAGGCTTTCGGCGCCGCCGGGGCCCCGTTCGGCGGCGCCGGGACCGGCGTCGTGGAAGGCCAGGGGCTGTCCCTCTCGCTGTCGCCGTCGCTGCAGCAGCTGGAGATGGCGAAGCAGGCCGAGGAGCTAAGGGTCCGGGACGGCGTGCTCTACTTCAACCGGCAGCAGCAACATCAGGGTGGCCCGTCGGTGCAGCAGCAACAGCTGCCGATGGCATTGCACGGCCAGGTCGGCACGCTGGGGCAGCAGCTGCATGTCGGCTACGGCCCGGCCGGCGTCGCGGGCGTGCTGCGCAACTCCAAGTACACCCGCGCGGCGCAGGAGCTCCTCGAGGAGTTCTGCAGCGTCGGGCGCGGGCAGATCAAGGGCGGGCGTGGGGCCTCGGCCTCCAACCCTAACGCGAGCAACAAGGGCGGCGCCTCCAGCTCCGGCGCCGCGCAGTCGCCGTCGTCCGCGTCCAAGGAGCCCCCTCAACTGTCCCCCGCCGACCGGTTCGAGCACCAGCGCAAGAAGGCCAAGATCATCTCCATGCTCGACGAGGCACGTCCACTGTCTCATCGTCCACACACACACACGAACTCCATCCCCTCCACTTCCTTCTTCCTCTCTCTAGCTTGCATGCATGGGTTTGCTGACGCCATAGCTAGCTAATAAGCTCCGGCGGACGACGACGACGCTCGCGGCCACGGAGGCGGCGCTAGCTAGCTCTAAAGGGTAGCTGCGGCCGCGGCGGTAGGTGGGCAGAGCCGGCCGGTACGTAGCAGTACTACAACCGATGATCCAGCAGAAGCAGCTAGCTAAAGCTGGTAGTACGAGTCCGAGGGAGAGCTTGGTTTTTTTTTTCACTGCCAAGTGCCAAGTCATTCTTGCCGGACGTGGCAGGTGGCCGCCAATGGCATGCAGGCTGAAGGCAGGTGCAGCAGGAGCCGCCGCCGCCACACAAACTCCAAGAGGGATATGAATCTCCTAATCATAGTAACATCGATCCCATCCCCGATATGGCTCGATTTCTTTCTGTGCGGTTGTTGGTGCTGCGCTGTTGCCGCTGCATTCATCGCCTCCATTTCTTTATGCATGCGCCAATCCGCCTGCTGCCTCTCTCTTCTTCTCTCTCCATATCCCCACAAAGGGGAAAGAAGTACGGCCACCATCACTCTATCTATCCTTTCTCCCTACCCATTGCTGTCATCACATCTCAATTAACATAGGACATAGGATGTTACTAGCTGCTGGCAATTGTTTATGCGCGGCGGCGTCACTACCTAATTTTGATTTTCTAAGCATATAATACTTTGATGACTCAAAGCTTAATTTGGTTCGACTAAAGCCCCATTTGGCACGGCTCATCCAAAACGGCTTCACCGGTGAAGCCAAAACCGGGGAAGCGAAAAACTGGCTTTTCCCGGCTTCCAGTTCATTTTAATCCCGACTTACAAAACGGCTTCACGCTACAGTGCCTCGATTTGGGCAAAATAGATGAAGCCGAAGCCGACATAAGCCGTGCCAAAGAGGCCCTAATGGTATATAAAAATCTATTGACGCATATATACATACACCGGTGGTTGGTGCAAGCTGCTGCAATCATGCATCTATTGATGATGCAAGATCGATGCTAGCATCAGCTTCGAGCTAGCTGATGAACAGCTAGCTCCTCGCCTAAGCTGCTAGCTAGCTATAGCTTACGGTCTCCTTGTTGATAGCTGCTGCTAGTACATGATTGCCGAGCGAGGGACGCGAGCTTGCGTCGCTCGCTCAGTGATCGCCACCGCGGCAGCTGGAGCTTGGGCACATGCAGGCAGGTCACACTGGTAGATGCGTGTGGTGGCTGGCTCAGCTAGCCCGGCACCGGCTGTTGCCAAATACCGGTGGGCCTCGGCTGCTTTTGTTCCTTCTCCCCATTTCTCATAATTGTGCCAGCCACACATACAACGGCATGCCCATGCCTTAACTGCGTGCTGCACCACCTGATCGAGTTTTGTTTCTTGTGTTCCATCGATCGATCAGCATTGCTTTCGACGATCGTACTAGCTAGCTATCTTGTAGAAGTGGGATTTTTTTTCCTTTCACCATTAGTTCCACGTTTCAATTACCTTTTGTAATTTATTAGGGATGATACGAATCGCCGTAAATACTAAATTATCTGATGCATGATGCGCAACAACTAATAATTTTCTTCGATACATGCATGCACGATTATCAATCAGGTGGACCGTCGGTACAACCACTACTGCGACCAGATGCAGATGGTGGTGAACTTCTTCGACTCGGTGATGGGGTTCGGCGCGGCGACGCCGTACACGGCGCTGGCGCAGAAGGCCATGTCGAGGCACTTCCGGTGCCTCAAGGACGCCATCGCGGCGCAGCTGCGGAGCACGTGCGAGCTGCTGGGGGAGAAGGACGCCGGCACCAGCTCCGGGCTCACCAAGGGCGAGACCCCGCGGCTGCGCGCCATCGACCAGAGCCTCCGGCAGCAGCGCGCCTTCCACCACATGGGAATGATGGAGCAGGAGGCCTGGAGGCCCCAGCGCGGCCTCCCCGAGCGCTCCGTCAACATCCTCCGTTCCTGGCTCTTCGAGCACTTCCTACACCCGTACGTCGTCATCATCACTTGCATCTCAATAGTCAATTCTTTCCTTATCTTCTCTTCTCTTCTCGCTCGATATATCTATCATCTGCATGACATGCATGCATGCATGGGATCAGCTGCTGCTGGCGATGATCGATGCCGTGGCGCGAGATCATGCATGCAGCGCTTCCTCCTGCTAGTAGTCTGGTACTCATCACGGGCAGCTTCTGCTTTGCTTTTCCCTGCCCCCGCGGGCTCTAGTCTGGCTGCGCTTTAGCAAAAGCAGTAAATTTTTCGAGATCCACGCTGAAAAACCGGCCGCAGCAGCCATGCATGCATGCCGGGGACTGTGCGCCTGTGTATATTCCTTCCCTTTTGCCCCCCGGGCCCGGGGTTTAACTTTCCCATCATTGCAGAAATTTACCCTTTTTTCTGGTTTTACTGCGGTCAATCAGTGTCAGGCCGGCCGGCAGCGGCAGGAGCTCTCCGGAGTCCGGACCGCCCCCGCTAAACTGCTAGAGAAAGGGAAGGCTGCTGCTGCTCTTCCGCTCGCGCGCGCATGCAAAGCTACGCGCGTTCTGCTGCACGCATGGACGGCGCGGGGCGGGCCTTTCTGCCGCGCCCCGGCCGAGCTGCTGCCGCCTGCTGCTGCAGCAGCCGGCATGGGCGGGTAGTAGCCGCCGCCCGCCGGCCGATGAGCCGGCCTCCTTTTGCTTCCACCGTGCCACCATCTGATCCAGCTGATCCCGTTATCATGCTGCCATTGCCGCCTGCGAGAGATCAAAGCGCCAGAGGGGGAATATATCGGCCTCGGAATCCGTTCTCCCTTGGCTCCTGGCGCTGCATCTGCATGCATGCATGCAGATTGCAGAGAGTGGTGCATGGCTGGCCTAGCTATAGTTGCTACTCCATGCTGCTAGCGTACATGTGCGTGCATGGATATCGGTGCTCGTCCATGCATACATATGATCATCATCACATATAATGGGTATATGATTGGTGAATAGTGCTCAGCACGTCGCACGCAGTGGTGCTGTTCCTGGGGCTTCTGCTGCTGCATGCGCGTGCAGGCTGCCGCAGGCCGCAGCTCAGCTAGGCAGAAGATAGTGTGCTGCCAGTGCCAGCACGTACGTACGCGGCAGCCTTAACACGGGTCCTTTTCTACAGTATGTTCGGCGTCGTATGGGAATGATTCTCATGTGTGTGCATGGTTGTTTCCTCGTGCCGTCTCTGCAGGTACCCGAGCGACGCCGATAAGCACCTGTTGGCGAGGCAGACCGGGCTGTCCAGGAACCAGGTCTGTACGTTTGCACCACCCATGCATGCACAGTGTGGAGTCAGAGCTATTTCATCCGCTAGCTAGCTTTGTTGCTGATACGTACCGTTCGCATGCATGCATGGATTGAATACCTATCTATCGCCTACTGTTGAGCGTGGCAGTTTAGCCTGTTTTTTTATGCTCTTTGTTTTTGCTGATTTGGATGCGCTTTTTTTTGGGATCGACTCAGCATGGCCGTCTGCATTGTCTTATATTATGAATAGATAGCCTGTCCCCGAGGTAAATAGAAACTGACACTATACTCAATATGACCACTAAAATATATACTTAGGGTGAATCTAGTATATATCGTTGCTGGAGCATTGCTAACACAACTCATGCATGCTTAAGGACATAGCATCTCCTATATATGCTATATAAGCTGAAATGAATTTTTACTTACAAGTAGTATTCAATAATGAAGTACAACAACAAACCATGATAAAGATCAATATAATTATATGTATATAAACAAACTCATAATTTGGTAGCAACTTCTCAAGTACCTTGCTCGAAATTAAACCATTCCAATTAATATTGTTCATATGATAGGATAACTAGATTGGAAAATTAGTTAAGAAGCTAAGATTGAGTCGATAACCTCAGCACCTCGATATAAACTGAATGAATTTATGAAATTGACAAGAGGGTCAAATAGTTTTAAGATAGTTTCTAGACACTTACTATATGTGTGCATGCATATGTGAATGTAGAAGAAGACTGAACTTAATTATATGGAGAAATCACTTAAATTGTTATATATAGGACACTATTAAAATGGCACCTGCATGGCCACATTTTATATTAGCACGCATGATGGTAGGGTATTGGACTGAACCCTACTCCACACAGCTCCTCAGGTTTATGCATGCTTTTTTTTTTCCTATCCTTCATCAGTTCATCTCTCTCTTTCTCTCTTGGGCTCTTTTGTTTATTTCCTGCATGCACTTACGTGGTCCCTGCACAAGTGCCCCTCATGTCTACCAACTTCAGGGCACTGGGTCATTATCAAGGCAACGTATCAGGTGCAAACCAACCCTAACCTGTGCAAACTTGGAAACTACCAATCAGGATCACTGGATGCTGATCCAATGGATGAGGTGAGGTGAGAGGTGGGATTTTTTTGCGCTTAAGCCCCCCACCCGCCGTCCTTTTTTTACACTTAAGCCCCTCACCACATCCATTGGATCAGCATCCAGCGGTCCTGATTGGTAGTTTTCAAGTTTACATAGATTAGTTGGTTTGCACATGATATGTTGCAAATTATCAATCCATGGCCGCATCGTAGAAACATTTCCTCCTCTGCTCTTGCCCAATGTGACAACGCAAACTGGGTCCCTCTTCAGCTCCCCTTGTCCTTTTATCCTTTCCTGCCATCTTTAGGTGAAATCTATGCACACCGTGATTGCCTAACATTAATTTAAGTTTGTAGTGATCTCGATAGCTGGTCCAATAATACACATACTACATTGTGGCTCACTGCTACCTTAGACTGATAGCATCCCCCTGAAAAAAAAAATCTGGATCCACCAGCCAGTTATATATTTACCGACACCATATAACCATGTGGCAAATTAAGTTGCTTCTTGCTTTCTACAAGATGGCAACTATTCTGTGATTCCAAAATATTTAAACGACCCTACCAAGCTATATACGATATATGATGTGGTACAATGTTGACAGAACCTTCAGATGTTGTCAAAAGTGGCGCTTTTTCTTAGAAGGTTAATAAGTATCACCCCTTGGTAGCACCGTATGTATATGCCA